TAGCTTATTTCGAGGAATCACTGAATGACCTACCACTAGCGTTTTGACTATAGTTGACGTAGCCATTCAATGGTGCAGCTATGGCTATGCAGGTGTTTCCAGCATTGCCAGAATTCATACCTGAATAAAGAATTGTGCTAGACACTTCGATATTTCTGTATGCTTTTTGTGTCTCTCTTAACCCTTCCCAGTTCTTAAAGAAGTATCGTATCATTCAGAGTTCCTCGCTCAATTGAGAATGTTTCTTCGGCGCGTACATATTAAAAGCGTGGTTCACCTTTGAAGATGAAGAGGGCCCACTAGAAATCAACATCGAGGTGGTCAGTGCAAAGATGAAAAACTCCAAAACCCAAGAGATGGGAACCTTCTCGCTCATTGATTCGAGCGTTAGGCATGTCTCAGGTCTCGGTGCTAGCCTCATCAGCGCTAACATACTCTCTCTCCCCTCTCTGCTACGCGACTAGATCCAAACGACGAGGGCTGGACAGGCAGTGGCTATAGCGGCTTGGTGGCCATGCTAGGTCGCCGGGGCATATTTTTCGTTGCGAATTACGTGGTCAGCCCTCACGCTTAGAAGGTTCGCCCCACCACTACTTAGGTTTGCCGTTTTTGACCTCTAACCTCATCGTGGAATCTTCGTTTAAAGGCAAAGTTCGGGCTCAGACCCACTTAATAAGCCTTTACGTGGCTAGAAGTGCTAGGTACGCAAGTGCAGAGGTCGCGCCACCTTCCTACATCGAAACGCGTCACTAAGACGCTAGGCGCCATGGACTTCTAACAGACTCCACCAAACTAACATGGTCCGCCCACCGTCGATATCTTGTCTGCGTCGCTAACGTTGATCTGCTATGCTCTCTCTACTCGAAATTCTCTACCACATCCGCGCTCCTGCCTGCTTTTTGAACTCTCCGCAGTGTAGAGCAAAATGCTCGTATCTTGCTCCACCCTGCTTTCATTGTGTATTTCACGATTTTCTTTAGTTTTTTATCCACTGGCGGTCCACCTCCCATCCCTACTTTCATATGTGAGTGAAATTACTTCATCGTTTTCATCCCGATTCTCGCCTATAGTTACGACACATACTTATAAACAAGCTGTTCACAGTCAATTGCAAGATATAAGAGACATGTCAGGAACGTGGAAATTGGAGATGGCTCGACTCATGAAGAAACAACGTGTGACCCACGTAGTTTTGATCGTGGCAGAATGGAGAAGATCGACTGCGCGGAGAGCAGCGCATTAAGAAGGTGATTAGGGAATCAGGGAGATTTCTGTTTGCTCAACTTTTTATTAGTTTTGGTCTTCGTCAGTCCATGGCTACGTGTGCCAATTGCGATTTTTGGAGCGTGGACCAGGGCTGATGGGAACCTCCACACTGTGGAAACCGTGACCTTACTGTCGTTTGCAACAGTATCCACTATGTGTCGCCCCTAAAATGCTGGATATTTCCATTGCTGTCCAATTTTCTTCAGTGTTCACTACTGTTTTAAAACTTTTATTCTCGCGCTTTCAAATCGATTTTTTTTTTTAGAGTTACCGCGAAGGCGGGCCATTATCATCAGTTGTAAACTCAGTAATTGGCTTACAGAAATCGAATTTTGAATATCCTTTATGGACGGATATGTCTTGATCCAGCGTACACTGTTGATGACAATTTCTTTTGGAAACATTATTGAGTGATAAGATACTGCTCTGTCACTCTTGGCGACCGGCAATTAATCTGCGCCAAAGGAATCTGCGCCAAAGACGGCAATGCATTTATGCCGTAAATAGATTGACCCACACTATCACTCTGCCATCTTAACTGAAGAAAGCGAACAGCATTCATATCTGCTTCACTTTTTTAGCCCACTCAAGAGGTGGATGGATCTAGGTGGACATTAAAAGATCCAGAACCACATCACTAACCTGACTGTTGTCCCGTGATCAAGTTGTTCGAGCCATTTTGCGAAGAAGCCAAGCAGCTACCTGAACACAATAGTGTGCTTAATTTTCGCTTTCGAAAATTCTTGATTTCGGAAAAGTCTTTGGCCATTTCTGTCTGCAAGTTGTAAAGTTGTAAAGTCTGCATGTTGTAAAGTCTTCAGGGATCGTTTTGAACATTTATTTCAAAACATATGGAAACCATAGCCAGTGATCTCTTCAGATCATTTCTGCCGATTATGGCTGAGAAAATCGTCTTTGACTGAAAGCATGTTTGGCTGCTCTGATTCTAAAACCCAGAAAACGCGTCAATGGAAGCGATGCGGCAAGAGCTCACGTCTTGCGATGGAACCCAGAGTGTCTTTCACGACATGGTAAACATTTGGTTGCCGATGTCCAGAAACTCGAGAAAAATGCACAAATTCTTTGGCCTGTTCCTTGAATGACGAGTGTCTTCTGGAGCTGTTTGGAAACAGTCTCCGGAGCAATGCACGGGAAGCAGCTTTTTCAAAGTTATCAGACATACAATAGCCGTTCCCAATATCTCTCAAAAAGAAGAGAAATTATGGCAAAAGGAGATTTCGTGATCTGGGTGACAACCGCCGTCAGAGGCCTTCAGATTTTGCATGAACATTTTGATTTACCGTCTGTCTCTTGTTTGACCCGACTACTTTGTTGGTGGTAATCAGGAGTGGGTTCCTCACGTAAACCACACCGGAAGCGCCAGTGGCCCAGACGCGTAGAACCGAGGATTTAGCGCCGATTCCAGCACTGCAACCTAGGAGGCAACTTTCGAAATTGCTGAAGCTGTAAGCGATTCGTTCACTGACAGCTCCTACCAACAAACTGCACTGCTATTGTTGAACGATAATATGGGCAAATGGATGGGTCGCCGGCACTATGCTTGGAAAACATGCAAAGTTTACTTTATCCAGGCAACGCTCGTCAACGAATTTGGAAGAAGGTTCAGCAAAAGTCTCCAAGCCCTTATGGGACGTTCTGTCTCACCTGTTGCGTTCAGCAGACCCGGCACCAACAGAATACCATCTGCTTCTGTTGCTGTCAAATCAACTAAAAGAGGGAGAGCTTGATGATCCGAACCTACTCGAAAAGGACTTCTTCCAGTTTTTTGCCTTAAAGCTCAGGATTTCCAGACAAACGGCATCCACAAGTTACCTGCTGAAAGGCAATATGTTGACGATTATGGTGGGGCATATGAATGTGAATTGCTGACTGTGCTAAAGAAGAAAAAAGGTTAAAAAAATCGACAAGTGGCCAATGACTTTTCCGACAACCTATATTTTCATTTCTTCTTTCCCATTTTCTGCCGTTATCGTGCTACTATATCACTCTGGAGCTAAGCTATGACCAAATCGAAGATCGCTAATAGTATATAGAAGCATGTGAAAAGTTCTGCCAAGTGTGCAGACTGGGATGGATTATCAAATTCAACAGACTTGAATCGAGATAGTTTTAATATTGTAAGTCACACTTCTTCCTTAAGATTCAAATCCTAAGTCTCAGCTCTTTCTTTTATCCCATTCTGATATTAATCTTATAAATTCCATTCATCAAGCAATGAGGAATATCGAGCGCTAGACTGGCTCAGAAAGTTCCAGCATAGTCTATTTTCTCATATCCTGTTTCCTTTTTTCGTTCAGCCTCACCTACCCAACGGAGGTGTCCATGAACCGTTCTGACACATTGCCGACATCGATCCCTGAGGTGTGTAGCTGATGTTGCACATCAGGAATACGGAAGTCCCAGCCGAATAAGGAACTGCATTATTGGCTTGGATGTACATTACGGTACCACCTTGCACATTGACAGCCTGACAATTGAGTCCCGACTGCCCCTGGAACTTAAGAATGTCAATTTCTTGAAACATAAACATTATTAGGTTGGTTACAAGAAAGTGCCGATTTTTTCATACCCGCACCATCACTTCCAAAAAATGTTAGCGTTCACCCAAGGGGATATGTGGCTATCTCAGCGTCCTTTTATATTACGAAACTCGCCCGTCAGTACTCGTCTCTAAGGAAAAATAGTGACGTCCCATTGAACTCTATCCGCTACTGTCTATTTTACGAGTTTCGTTGGGGCACTCACGAGAAGAGCGTATCGAATAGTTGCGCAACTGAAGGACCAGACACGCTAAAAGAGTGGGTCTGTTGAAAGTGGTTCGAGAAGTTTTGTTAGAGCGACTACAGTCCTTTGGACCAACCACGTTTCGGACACCCAATGACTGTAGATGTTGGACGCAAGAGATTCTTGAAGGCAATCCGTGCACAGTGTTTGTCAAACTGTAGCAGACCTCCAGCCCTCCCAAAGCGCCATGTATTGTGCCCTTCGAGCCATGGGGAAGGTGTACCGTTGGGAAGATGGAATCCACGAGTTGGATAAAATGGTTACTAAAACACACGTGAACATCCCCTGAAATCACATTCGGAAATCGCTTCTTCAATTGGCTTGACAAGGGGTCACTGGGGTTAAGCAGTCTGCAGCAACATAAGGAGGCATCAGTGGGAACGTGCACCCAGCAGCGACAACAAGAGGCGACCTTCACCCCGATTAGATTCCGCTCCCCGATTGTTGATTTGCATCATTACAGACTCTAATACAACCACTGCTAGCGCAGAGACCTACAGCTTACAGAACTATAAACTCATAAACTCATGAACTGAAAAATCTCGCAAAATCGAGGGCTCCCAATGAATGAACTGTTAAACTGCGCGCCAAATCACCACCTACATTTCACGAGCAAATGTTAGAAAACTATACCGAAACATGGCCTCATGATTCTCCCCGCTCTCTATAATCTCCTGAGTATACCAACCAATCACCACTTGTTGAGCTTGCTTGCGTTTCCCTATTGAGAAAAACTGGGATGATCGCGAACACCTCAAAGCAGACATTCAGTTATCCTTTAAACGCGAAGCTGTGCATAGTTCTGAGAGTTTCGCCCTTGCGGAAAATTACACGCAGCGGTGGTAAATATGGCTCTAATCAAGATGGTCCTAAATAAAGTGGTGAAATTTTGAAAATTGTGTCAAATCGGCACTTACTTGTGACTCAACCTAACAGTTTTGGGTTGGCAAGGTACAGTTGCATTTGGTGAGTTCTTTCAAGCGATCGAAACTATTAGTTAGTAAAGCGGGGGTATGTATAGCAGTTCAGATTGGAAAAAATACAGTCCGACAAAGATACTGTCGCTTCTTTCGAGAAAACTGGAATAAAACAGTACAGTAATAGATAGACAGATGGAAGCTTTAATGAACAGCTTGATGCATAATAGTTGCAATTGTGAATGGAAACCACTCATACGAACTTTTCTGCGACCTATTGGTTAATATTAGGTGTGTGATATTAGAATTATCCCCATTGCCATTCAGGAATACTTTAGCTGCATTAATTCCATAACTGATGTGCGCAGTGGGTACGAGGTGCCGATTCTGGATTTTAACTTGGGTAGACTTTCCTTCCTTTGGTACGAGCTAATTTAATTGATCACGGATTGCACAACAACCCAGCGACTTTGTCATACACCATAGTTCCTTTTTGTCACGTATTAGTCGCAATGACCATAGCTTTCACGACGAAAGTGGTTGCTGAGCAGGACTTCGAAAGCAGTCCGCCCAAAAAACGATCTACCAACCAGTTTAGTTGGTGATTTGGACGAGCAGCGTTGTTAGCAGCGCACAATTGGAGGCACACAATTGGAGTGTGGTTTGGCATGGTCCCTCCGAACTCGTTGTGGGTGATCTCGTTCATACGTCCGCTTTCTCAGCTATTACCTGTTCATGAGTGAAAATCAACGGCCAACAAAGGGGTCCCATTTTGCTTTTTCTTGATTTTTCTGCGTGTTTCGCCACTGGCTTACCATTGAACACCACCACGTTCTTAAAACCTTCAAAAATCTACCGTAGTAATTGCCTTTGAGAAGCAGTGTGTTGTCCCGTGAATTATTCCAATTTTTTGTCCGAACGAAATTTCTTTAGGTCAAATTACTCTTATAGTGTCATTGCGAAATAGACTGCCAGACTTACAATTTCACCTAGGGATTTGAAACTTCTATCGAAAGCGTGTTTCGAGAATTCTCAGCCGAGGAAAGGTGGTTAGTTGAAGTAGAAGAAGAGAAGGTTGACAGTGACACGAAATTGAAGCAATTCCTCTTTTATTTCTACGAAATGGCGCATTCCGCCGAACGCCAGGGAAAACATATATGTCGTTCCATGCATGGTCGCCTGTAGCGCATTCCGTTTCTATTTTCATGGAAAACATTTCAAGTATTGCTGATACAATTCTTTCCACAGTGTTGACCAATGTCTTGCAGTGCAACCTTGTCAGACGGTTTCGCGAGAAAGAGAGACATTCAGCCCAATCCAGGGAGTCGTCCAACATCTGCGCGGGTATTCAGGCAGAGGTCGTCCTGTCATTGTCAAACAAGGAATTCACATAATATGGAATCTCATAATAGCCACCGCGTGGATGTTCCCTTTACGCTATCTAAAAATCATCATAAGGGAAAAGCTTGAAAAGAAGCATCCAACCCGACGAAGCCGCCCGCAGACTAAGTTTTCTTTGAACCTTGACGTGTCAAAGAATATTGCTGAGCGTGGGCTAAAGCGCTCCAATTTTATCCTGGAAAACGAGAAAGGCACCATTTCTGGTGAGCAGTCATTGTTAAAATCGTGTAGTCTGGTTTGAAGAATGCGGTTCGAACGAGTATAAGGCGTCAGGCATTTGCTTCATGTCTTACTCGGATGCATTTTGCTTTGTAGGGTTGTGGTTTGGGTGACGTAGAAAAGTCATACTGCGACGGTGCGCTCGAAGAACGAGTGAGGTCTTTTTCTGTAGAGGCAACATTTCGGACGAGCGCGATGTTACTGTTTGGTCCAGTTACATCGACGGAACCCTTGTGCAAGCTTACAGAAAAGATGAGTTGATTCGGCTATCAAGTTGCCGTGCGTCATGGACCTCTTCCCTTTTGGCGACGAAATAGCGATAGGAAACTTTACTTTCGTGCAGAATAATCCCTCCATTCACGTAGGCCGGAGCAGCCGTGCTTTTAGCTAGCATCTGGTCCTTTCTGCTCCGGACTGCACATTCTCAAAACCCCGATGCGAACAAAGTAGGAGGTTCCATTGTTCAAGAGATCTACCCCGTAGATTCCCTCTTCGAAAACGTCCGTGAACTCAACAAGCTTAAAGGACGAACTTCACGATGAAAAAGCAACCCATTTCAAATTAACCTAGGATGGTGAGTGGTACACGAAAGAAGGAAGAACCATGAGAAACGGCCCAGAACCCGAGAAATGGGACCCCTTCCTTGCCCGTTGATTTGAGCATTGATGCGACTCTCATCGCTGTGCCCTCTTCAACACTACGCTCTCTCAGCTATCTAATCACTCGCCACGTATTGAACTACGGCGAGTGATCAGATGATCGGTGGGCGGAGATCGCCGGACCCGCCAGCTTTGAGGCATGATAGGTCGCCGAGGTCAAATTTTTCCATGCGAATTGCGCGTCAGTTCGCACCCTCAGGAGGTCCGTGGGTCCCTCAACTAGGTCAGTTTCCCTTTCTTCGACCTCATTCTAATCGTGAATTCCTCCTTTAACGCACCGTTATTTCTTGCTGACAGACCAAGTACTGGAAAGAGGGGAACTTCATACTCAGCAAGAAGAAATGCATCCTAGGATTCTTCTAAGAAAAGTGCAGGAAGGCCGTATGCATGTCAGCATGTCAGTCCTATTGTTGGGGTAGCACAACCATTAAGTTATGCAGTGTTCTTCGCAAGGCAAAGTAAATTCCCTACTTTGGTGCTATAAGATGATTGTATAAGATCATATTTATGTTTTGTTATTGATTTCCGTTTTTCAATGATTTCCGGTAAGGCTGCCTAATTACCCGAGTACCAAAAGTAAGGCTCGTACAATAACTCGTTATCGCGTGGTCAAACGTGTTTCAATCGAACCCCAGGCAATGGGGCTGTGTTCTGTCAATCGCCGTGCGCCGGGGCTAATCATCGTATACCACTTAAGAAAATTTTGTGCTTGTGTTGTGTTGTTTCGATTATTATTTCCTCTCAGTCGAAGTTGTAAATATAAATAAGTATGAAATCTCGCAAATTCCATAATTTGGACTTCGTGTCTGTATATAGCCGGCTGAATAGTTTCAACCAACGCCAATCGGCGAGTTTCAATCCCGAACTGACCGTTCGACACTCTCCGAATCCAACACTTGGTGACCAGCCCTCTTCAGTACAGGTCAGTGTAGAAACACCGGATGCAGCAAGCCCGAGATCGCATGTGAGAGTTGCAGTTGCTGACGGCATGTACGGCGGCAATGAGTTGTAGGTAATCTGAAACCGTTGGAATTCACGACGATGCTGTGAATCACTTTGTGATATACTTATTAGTTCCCTCAATCTTCGTAGTACGCCATTTGTTCACCTTCAAAAAGCATATAAAAAAGAACACACGTGTAGTGTTATCTAGAAGGTAGTGTGCTCTGTCAAGGCTTCAACCCAAAAGGGTTATGTTAGAAACTTCTCAATAAAGATGAATTGGGTGGAACTGGCAGTGCGGAATGGTGTCGGAATTTCCGAGGAGGTTCAAAAGATTTTAGGAATTCTTCCCGAAATTTGGGAATTTACTGAAGTTTTACGAAATCTAAGCAACTTTCTAGATTTTCGCAGCTTCTATTGTGGTATGTCATACCCTCCAGATTTGCCTCAGTTAGCCATCAAGACTTCTGGATGAATATCAATATCAGAAAAATAGTAAAAGGTCTTTTAAGTAACGGGGCCAATGCTATCTAATCCCTGGCTCCATTGCATCAATAGGTGGCTGGTATTAGTCTTAACTCGATATGGTCGTTTCCTGATTGCCGCCAACAACGACATGTCAAGTTGCAGACTAAAAGTGGCCGCTTTGTACCAAGTCCACAAACGGCCCCGTGGGTTTACCAGCAGTCTTTGGCGGGGGTTGTGTGGGGCATGGTCAAGGTCACAATCTACTTAGGATAGACGTCAGGAAGTGTGCCCTCAGTTGCTCTGGGGCCGGCGCCCTTCCTGGAAGCAGCGACAGAAGGGCAATCAAAGGCAAGAAGACTGCCCACACTTTTTCTGTATTTGGCACAAACAGCAATAGAGGTTTTGCATCGATATGGGAAATTATCAGGAACGCATAGGATGCGCCGGCCTCAAGTTAAGGGAATAGCTGGTAGAATTCCTATTCAGTTTGTTAGCCGCCACATTCCAACACTCACACGATTGCCTATTGCGACCTTCTTTTTCTCGACGGACTCCACGACCTTGTCAGCTTCGAGTTATGTATAACGCCTACGTGAATATAATACTAATCACTAGTCCAGAGTATGACGATGACGCAGTCAAAGAAATTCATGGTACGCTAGAAAGGGCACTAGTCAGCTGACTCAAAGGAATGTATGTTGTATTTGCTGGCGACTTAAAACCTCATCTAGGGCGGGGAAAACCTGGAGGAAATTTTGTGGGGCAATACGGAATGACAGGAAGAAGCAGCCTAGGAAAATTGAAAAATTGAAGGCCACAGTCCAGTCTCTCAAAAAACGTCATCATGCCCTTTGAAATCGTCTTCATTAGAAGAATATGCCACGGGAGCTTGTGAACGGAAGGTGCTCCTCTTCCGATCGTAGACCATTACTACGTTAGGAATAGGAATATGTTGCCGAAAGACTTCAATCGACCACGGCAAACTGTGCAAATTGAAACTTGCTGTACGCAATACGAGCAAAGTGTCTCCCCCCCCCCCCCCCACCCACACACACTTCGATGAAATGCTGAGAACACTTGCTCTCACTGCAAATTTTTCCGTAGAACAGGGAAATGCACACAACGGACACGAAGAAGCGGTTTCTACCATCTGATCCGTTGTTAAAAAGGCTTCGGAACGCGTTCGGAGCAAACACCGAGAGCAGTTGAATGCTGTTACCTTGCAAATGTTGTGCACTCGCAAGGAATTGGGAAAAACTATGACTTCTGTAGGTCCGGCTATGCTAAACACGGTTATACGCAGTATAATCAAAACGATCATCCGGAATACACATACGGCCGTACAGCACAAGAAACAGCTGAGAAGTCAACGAGCATTCAAAGAACTCATCTTTGAACCATCAACCCTGAATATCTGTCAGAAGTAGACGGCTGTTTCTAAAAGATATAAAAGGAGAAGTTCATCCAAGACTTGTTCTCCACCAAGGTGCATACAACCGTACCGATGGCATTCGATGACAGCAAGGATACATCCGGCAGGGAGGAATGGCAAGTTCTCGCATCAAAAGTGGCACAGGTCATCCGACAGACGAAAAGTGGAGGAGCGTCTGGACTAAACCAAATTCGAGCAGAACACTTGAAATGCGTGCAAGTGTGTCCATTAGCAGAAATATGTATTCACAAATATGTGATTGCATAAGGAACTGTTCCGGAGACTGGATGGGCTCATACACTATTATGTAATACTATGACCAAAAGGGACCGCTGGGAATCTTGACTAATGCCGCCAAATAGCGCCGCTATCAATGGAGCTCAAGTTTTCTAACGTGTCATCTCGAGCTACTTTCGTCGAAATCTCAATATGAACATGTGTAGAGAGCAAATCGTTTTCGTGAAAATCTCCCACCGCCGATCAGGCCAATGTAGTTTCGCAATTTGAAAACAGGTGTCGAGAATACCTAGTCCCACTACTGACTTTAAGAAAGCATTCGATACGGTTGAACATCAAGCAGTGTGAACGCCCTCACTGCTTTCGGAATTTCCTCGAAGATACATTGAAATAATACGACAATGCAACACGAAGCTGCTACACTGACATCAACTTACTCAAGGCCCGATCCGTGTCAAGATTCGAACGAGCGTTTGTCAAGGAGAAGTCATTTTTCCTAGGCTGTTCTCTGCTGCTCCAGAACTTGTAGTGCAACGCGTCCAATTGCCTTCCGACATTGATATAGATGGCGGAAGACTCCAGTTTTGGCGACGGACTTTTGGCTCGTCCGGGATGGCACGCGGCGAATTGCGCGGCGGGCTGCGCGGCGATCCGGACGAGGCAAGTCTTCGCGGGCTTTTGCAGAGGAAATCAACACGTCAAAGCGTGTGCAGATCGCGGATAAAATCCGCAAGGTTCTGCGATTCGAATTACATTCCAACGCATGGAGATTTGAAGACAGCGGTGATGCTAAGGAAATTTCAATAGGAAGAGTTGTGAAGGAGCTAAGATAGTGTTGTTACGACGATGCCGTTGATGGGGGTCATTCAACTAGTGAGCCAATTTCTGAGCTTAGAACTGAGCCTTAGGGAGGGGGAAGGGTTTCGGAAGAGGATGTGAGCAATTCGCGCTCTCCCCGATGTTTCTTCCCTTCTCCTTGGCTTAGTCCTATATCACCCACCATGGCCATCTTTTGAATGTTCCCCTTAAGGACATAAAGTGCTGCGATCAGCAAAGCATACACAGTGTACGCAAAATAACTCTTTCTCAGAGAGGAATTCCTAACTTAGTGTTTTTATTCACTTTGATGATAGCAGTGACATTTCCATGAAGGTTCTCTTTCTTTTATCTATTTGCGCTCACATCTCCTTACCGACGCCACTGTATTCGAATCTTTCAAAAACGGAACGTTTTCTCAAACCGCAGAATCATGCGAAGTTTATCCAAAACCTGTACACGCTTTGACGCGTTGAATTTATTGCAGCGCATCCTTTCAGATACTTCGCGCAAT